TATAATGTCCGATTCTTATTTGACTCGAACTTATTGTCCCTCATTTGGTTGCTGCTATCTTGCGGCTTTCTTCTTGTTAAGTATTTTCCTTCTTTTGGATAGTTATGGTGGAGTCTTTTTCACTTCAGTTGATTATAAACGAGCTAAAATCAGTACACCATGTACAAATACATGTATAAAATTATAGCACAAGTGTTATTGATAATCAAAATAAAAGTATTTACATAGGGGTGAAACCATAGAGGAAGACGAAGTGTTAATTTACATCTTAGCAAGAAAGGTAATATTCCATCTCAAAGCTTGAGATAACGAAATGACATTATTTGTTTTATTTGGCAAAGTATAAATGAAAACCTTTCGAGAAAAGGAGAAATACAAGACCATTCAGCTTAAATTAATCATTTTATTATGTGATGATAATGTGGGTGAAAAGCAAATCAAAGCAAATGTTTGTGAAAATAGATTTCACTCAATATTAGGTTGATCTAATCATTTTAAAGGTAAAGACCAGTTTTGGAAACGCCCCAATTTCAAAAAATGAAATGGAAGCTCTCATTACCAATCATGTGAAAGAATATGTTTTGACTAATACATGATGATAAAAAATTTGCCGGGAAACCGCCTACCAATTCATATATTTGGTAAATTTGTTTCTCTCATGGTCTGTGAGAGATATAGGGTAGTCCCATATACATCTTTCTGTGTATAGTGCTTGTAACTTTACGAAGAATGGGCCAAATTTCTTATCATTTTGATGATTCCAGAACCTCGCAGATGCTAGATGCTAGATGATCAACCTTTTCTGATCGATTCCACAACGTTTCTTTCACAATGCAATCGCATGACCATAACTGGTCTTTACCTTTAAGTGGATGGTTACACATTACATCAGATAAAAGCTTTTATCACAGTGTTGTTACACGAAGAAGTTATGTTTAGTGATTGTCTCATTTTAAACCTTAACAATTAACAAGAAATAATGTTGAGGTAATCATATAAGATGATGATTATATCAGTTAAAGTCTTGTAAAATATATTATCAAATTTCCTACTAAATAAATAATGACTATTATCCCAATTTAATGTTTATATGAAAATACATTTATCAAGTAAAGAATGACTCAATAAAAATAAGCTTGAGAAATAATCATGATCAGATAGTGTTGTTGGATTTTTTAAAATTTTTATTGGAAGTTTAATTGAAAATACAAAAGAGAGAATGGCTCAATTATTATTTTTAATCAAAATCTTGTCAAGTAAAGGATGACTCGATGAAGATTAGCTCAAGCTAATTTGATGAGATGATGCTTATCAGTCTTGATTGCTAGCTGATGCCATCATCTTCTTCTGTATGGCGATGATCTCCTCTTGCTCAGCCACTGTGCGAACACACCTAGGAGGAAGATGGTGAGAGGTTAAACTGACATAGCAGAGGTTATAGATGAAGGGGTGATTATGAAAAGAAGATCAAGGAGAAAGCGATAAAGAGAAAACAAAAGGAGTATATAGAAAAGATGATGATGATGATGATGATGATGATGATGATGATGATGATGATTACGATGATGATGATGGTGGTGGTGGTGATGGTGGTAAGCCTGAGGAAGAGGGTGAAGAAGAGGAAGAAGAAGAAGAAGAAGAAGAAGGAGAATAAGAAGAAGAAGAAGAAGAAGAAGAAGAAGAAGAAGAAGAAGAAGAAGAAGAAGAAGAAGAGGAGGAGGAGGAGGAGGAGGGGAGGGGGAGAGGAAGAGGAAGAAGAAGAAGAAGAAGAAGAGGAGGAGGAGGAGGAGGGGAGGGGAGAGGAAGAGGAAGAAGAAGAAGAAGAAGAAGAAGAAGAAGAAGAAGAAGAAGAAGAAGAAGAAGAAGAAGAAGAAGAAGAAGAAGAAGAAGAAGAAAAAGAAAAAGAAGAAGACGACGAGGAGGAGGAGGAGGGGGAGGAGGGGGAGAGGGAGAGGGAGAGGAAGAAGAAGAAAAAGAAGAAGAAGAAGAAGAAGAAGAAGAAGAAGAAGAAGAAGAGGAGGAGGAGGAGGAGGAGGGGAGGGGGAGAGGAAGAGGAAGAAGAAGAAGAAGAAGAAGAGGAGGAGGAGGAGGAGGGGAGGGGGAGAGGAAGAGGAAGAAGAAGAAGAAGAAGAAGAAGAAGAAGAAGAAGAAGAAAAAGAAGAAGACGACGAGGAGGAGGAGGAGGGGGAGGAGGGGGAGAGGGAGAGGGAGAGGAAGAAGAAGAAAAAGAAGAAGAAGAAGAAGAAGAAGAAGAAGAAGAAGAAGAAGAAGAAAAGAAGAAGACGACGACGAGGAGGAGGAGGAGGAGGGGGAGAGGGAGAGGAAGAGGAAGAGGAAGAGGAAGAGGAAGAAGAACAAGAACAAGAAGAACAACAACACCAAGACGACAACGACGAAGAGGAGGAGGAGGAGAAGAAGAAGAAGAAGAAGAAGAAGAAGAAGAAGAAGAAGAAGAAGAAAGAAGAAGAAGAAGAAGAAGAAGAAGAAGAAGAAGAAGAAGAAGAAGAAGAAGAAGAAGAAGAAGAAGAAGAAGAAGAAGAAGAAGAAGAAGAAGAAGAAGAAGAAGAAGAAGAAGAAGAAAATGAAGAAAAAGAAGGACAAGAAGATATACTTTTCACATACTTCAGCCACTCTCTTTGCACATCATCAAAGTATACATAACAACCCTTGAAAGAATCGGATGATCTAGGCCGAGGTTTTGTTCCCTAATTAACATTTGAAAAACGATCCATTTTTTCTAATAATAAAAGAGAGTATAAACTTCTTACTTGGGCAAAGAATCAACATTTTCTAATCCCATCACTAAGATTTCAGAAAACTATGCTAAAGAGACTAAAGATTTGTACCTAAAACAACTATTTTTCTGATTCTCACATCACTCGTTCTCATGTCACAGAGTGATTTCATTATCTCTTATTGAACTGAGTTAGTAACAGTAACTAATCAACAGTGGGCAATCCCCCCTCCCCCTAAAAAAAAGGAGATATAGTTGCTGGAAAACAGTTTTTTAATTTGCGGTTGTTTGCACGAGATTATCACTCTTTTATCTGATCGTAAATTGTCCATTGTCCCTTTTAGACATCCCTTCCAAATTCATTACAAAATTGCATACTATTATTAATTGCTCATGAGTGCCATCGTATATACAGTATAGTATAGCAGCAAAAAGGCAGTTCTCTTGATTTTTGAATATTTTTTGTAGGAAGGGTCTTCTCTCTCTCTAAAATATATAGTATAGTCAGCTATTACCCCTCCTTATCATACTCCGATGTACAATACTTGATATGGTATGTATGTATTTAAACTTTGTTCAATTTCCTCAGTATTTGTAACCTAAAATGTCTACAGGGCCTCTAAGGAAAACAGTTTTAATACTGAGAGAGTTACCCTGTTTAAATAAAACAAATAAATGAATAAATGAAAATAAAATCACAATTTGGAACATGATTTTGTGAAAAGTGAAGAGCTGTTGATCAGTATATACTGCGTTCTGTATTAAGGGAAGGAAGTTCACATTCTCTTTGTAACACTCATTAGATGAATCACTCTCTTGGGTATAAAACGTGCCATTCCAATGTGTTAGTTTCACTCAAACATACATAAATGTTATAACATGATCAAACAGACTTTCAAGAAAATATCTCAATTAAGGGAGCAGTTCCAATTTCCTATTGTAATATTCCAAAGATATCATGTTGAATTGAATTTGATTGAATTTGATTTAATTGGTTTATTTAAGGTGAACAGGTAACATTGTTTAAAAACTACATAATTTTTGTATGAAATGTTACTTATTATATTCCTTCTACCGTACTAACCCTCTAACATGCAAAAAATCCTGACAATATTCTCAAACCACTGTGCAACAGTAAATTCAACAAATATTTGAATTTTCCCAACCGTTTTTCAATGAAAATAAGATATAAAACCTGCTATTATAAATCTGTCAACACTAAAATGTTTGGAATGGTATTTAGTGCCAATTCATTGCTTTGTGACGATATACATTCACCTTAAATTTAATCAAATTATAATAATATAGTTGGGAGAATTAAGGAATTGATCAGATCAGTTTTACCCAATTTTTATTATTAATAATGAATCTTTTTTCACTCAAACTTTCAGATTATCTAGCATTGAAGTCAATACCTTAGCACCATTTTCTCTAATCTGAACAATGTTACCAAGTCCCTTTAATAAGAACATGGCATGCAGCTCATAGCTGATATTGTCTATTTTACACCGTAATCAAACAATGATGATTACATCACAATGAAAATGTCAAATCATTGTTGCAATGGTTTCACATTTAAATAGGCAATAGACATGGCCATTGAAATCACCCTGAGTTGATTTTTTGAAAGTTTTAGTCAAACATATTTGTATATGTATATCGGAACCAGTGTAGTAGCCGAGTCTGGTCTCGAGGCCATATTTCAGTGGCATCAGTCTCGGACAGAGTCACTTGTACAAAGCCTATAGAAGGTAATATTTTGTTTGTGGAACTTCCGGCTTCGACTATATCACTGCTTAACAACTGTGTCACACTTTCACAAACCAAAATGCAGAAGGGGTACATGAGTATAAGGCCATTAAATTTTTGTTTACATGTTTAGCGTCCCCCCCCCCCTCCCCACTTCTTTTGGGGGCTGCATGCCATCTTGAAAAATAGCCCAACTGTCAGGGAAAATGTACTGAGCAGCCATTTAGAAGGAAAAAAAAGGGCCTCCTCCTTCCTATTTTTCAATCTTCTTCCAACTCGAACTGTTTTTTTTTGTCAAGCAACAAGAATAATATCTGTTCGGAGCCAAAAGAGCATTAATTAACTCTGTGTTCAAGTTTACGAGTTAACTGGCTCCGAACAGACATTGTGTTCAAACCATCAAACATTCACGTGTTAGATAACGGGATAAGTCACACAACATATTTCATTCAATGTTAGAATTCACTCAATGTTTACGACAGACAATTCAAACAACAAAGGCAGGCAGAAACTGACGTTTGCTTTTGTGAAATGTGATTACCTGGTGTAGATTTCTTTTATTTTTACGAATAAAGAACTGCATTTTATCAATGCATTGACCATTACGTGATGCACTGAGTTTAGAAAATAAATTTGACTTAAAAAAAAGAATGAATAATCTAGATTTAATTATATAAAAAAATGATTTAGCTGAATTAATGAAATATATATACAATCTATCATATATGAGCATTACCATAAATTCTATACATAGTGTGGGTATGGGGATATAAATCACTATCAATTGCATTCCTAACGATGAACATATGTAAATTGCTACAAAATTAAAGAATTTGGGGGATTTTTTAAAAGAAATCCGACAGAAAATCAGAACATGTCAAAAGGAGTTGAAGTTGGAATTAATTAAACTAATTATAGGTTCATTATACATGTATAAAAACGATAAATCCTAGTTTGATCCAAATCAGATTTCTAATATATAGCTTTAGATGGATGGCAAGCTATTAGTACATGCGACAAACAGTAATAAAACGTGGAACATGTTATCAAGATGATCTAACATTTGTTAACTTATAGCTCTATATGATAAAGGCATAATTATAATGAAAATCTTCTTTGCCCGATATAAAATTGCTTATTTACGAAGAACTAGATATAAATGTATTGATTTTACTGTAGCTTGTGCCTCTGAAATAATGTATACATGCACCTATGAAACTTCATACCAATAGCCTGGTTTACTAACATATTCAAATTTATGGATGTTTCTTTCCTGCGGACCTAGTGATGAGATACTAGTATTCCATTAACCTGTTGTTAATGAATGAACTACAATACTCCGAATCCAGTCTGCATACAAAACATGTTGCTATGTCAGGTAATCCCTGGGCAAACTTACAGGTTGTCAAGAATGACCTTTCTTTTAAACAGTTTGCATACAATTTGAATATGTTAGTAAACGGGTCTATTCATGCTTCTGAATGTTGATACTTTATAAACAGTATTATCACATGAAAATAAAAGGTATGTTAATACCATTTCAATACAAAAATTACGCTTGCCCTTTCTTCACATTCCTCTCAAAAGCGCTTCAAAATTTACAATTAATCACTTGGTATTATTTTGGATAATTTTTTGTTGTTTGTTTACTGCATGTATTACAACGTACAATCAACAGTGGCCTATTAAAGAGCTATATAGCTATTGGAGGTAATAATAAACTTCTATTTCTTTTGAACTTGATGGCTAAGTAAAAGTTAAACGTAATATTACATGAAACAAGCTACGCAAACTCTGGATCGCCCACCTGCATAAATACCTTAGTAATCAATGTAAAGGGCAACGTTTTAATTAGCACAAATATAGAAAATCTGAGTATGAAGTAATAGTGCTTAGAGGCTCTAACCCAACATGAACATGCTAATAGCACACACATTCCTATTTGGTTTAACAATAAACTTGAAATGTGGAACACATATCACACCGAATCCCAACACTTGATTTCGAGTTGACATAGTCCGTCACGCACCTGGCAGAAAGGCGTCAAAACAACTTTTGATCAAATTTGGAAATATTTCATTTCGAAGTGGGGGGATAAAGTTGTAACATATTACTGTTAGCAATAATTATATGTTAACTGAAAATCGCTGTGTAGAAATGTTTAAGGTTTAAAATGAGTAGTTTTAAATTGTACAGCCGCTTGCTGTGTAGCCGTTTTTTGTGCATTTCTGCCGAGAACAGGACTTACCGTACAAGGATTTAGAATGAACCATAATGAAAAATGTTACTAAGCAAACCATGCTCTGATGTTAGATTTTTACACAACACAAAGACCTGGGCATTGTTTCAATTAACTGTCATAAGTATAAGTTCACCAAGATCCCTTTGAAAATGACTGAATTCATGCATTTCGATGGGATGTCTGCGAGCTTGTAAATTCTGTCATCTTTGAAATGCTGCCTAGTCATTACTGCTTCATCATGTAATAACAGATGTGTTAGAAACAATGCATACAATTAAACATTCTTAAAGATGTCACAGAACATTCTTAAAAGATATTCAAACCTTAAAATGTACACAAAACATTGTTGAAATCGACATCAAAATCTTGCATTCCATTCGTTAGAAGTTTCTGGTCACGCGGTAAAAGAACGTCTGTTCAGACATTCAACATCCTCGTAAATGAACACACAACAGATGTATCATGGCATGCTCTTAAAAAACGCCCATATGAACACGTTAACCTAAGAACAGAATGCTTACAACATACGATCAAAAGCAGCTCATTGTTAGTAAGAAATGCACTATTAAACACAGGAATGTGATTTTGGAAAGTGTTGAAGACTCTTCATGGCAATCACTCGATACAATACTAATCGAGACAAAACTCCATGCTCAATACACACCCTATAGTAAACCTTTTACTTGCATACTGTATTATATCGATACCCCTTTATATTAGCTCCTGCTTATAGTACCGGTCGATATATTATTTTTAATATATTTAATATCGAGTCTACGGTGCCGTAATAATATGATTGCTCTTAAAGCCTGTAGCTTAATCTAACTGGAGCATTATAAATGCTAATAAAATGTGAAGTGTCAGCAAAACAATACAATTCCTACATATTACTTTACATTCAATTTCCTAGTATAGCTTATGTTTATGAATTTAATTGGCATAACACAATTTTTTAAGGATTAGGATACCATACAATTATTCTCCATATCATCCAAACTTTAACTTGAATGTGAAATTACATTCCATACATTATAATTTTTGATATCTATACATGTTTCATACTATACCGATGCAATAAGAGAGATATATCTACATTTCTACAATATCCTAAATATTAAAAAGAAAATGATAATTGCGCCTCTTTCGAGAAAAAGTGAAACTTTGCCAAATACTCGGGTCATAGAAGAGAACTTAAAAGAAAGTCATCCGTCTGTTAATATAATTGGAGATTACTAAACACTCCACGATTTCCTTCAATCCCCCACGTATTTATTGATTGATATTTTTTTTGCAAAATAAAATTCAAGTTCTGTTTTTGCAACAGAAAAAGTGCATGTACATTTTTTCATAAAATAATACTTCCTCCTTTTCCCCCAAACGTTCTCCCATACACATATAAAGATTAAAATGCTACTACTTACAACAATAACAACAAATAAAGTATTTCTCTTGTTATGGAACGAAATATTCACAAACTAAACACAACAACATGCTGCCTTTTTGTCCTCCCCCTTTTCAAACACACATTTTCACATATATTCTGCTGAACTTTGGACTCCCTTTTTCATTTTTGAAGAAAATGCTTGTCTGTTTTATTACGGTAGGTGCTCTTATATGCAATGAAATAACCATATGCACTCTTTTTCACATGCAACCTATGAGATATTGTACTACACGAGCGCAAGCATGATCCTATTAAGAACTAGATACGGACAGTGTCCATCTCCTTGTGATAGCGAGAGTATAGTGAATTAACTTTGGATTTAGACAATTATGAACATACACCACATGTGCCATACACAGCAGGCACTTTTTCCCGTTAAACCACCTACATGTAGCTGCGGAACCCCACCCCAATTATACCCATATTCAAACTATATAGCCATCTGTAGAAAGCCAGTAGGGCGTTAGTTAACTCATAAACTTTAACACAGAGTTAACACCCTTCTAGCTCTGTAAGTGGAAGCACAGTCAAATCTGTAAATGAGATACAGAAGGACCTAAGATGCAAGAAATGTTAAAAAGGTGGCACATAAAATGGGGCTAAGATGGTCCTGAAATGCTACTCTGCACTACAAACAAAAAGACGTAACTGCACAATGAATTGCATGCTCTATTGAGTGCCATAAGGGTACTGTTCCAGTATGACGGATGGGTGCCAGAAGGCATCATGTTCTGTATCATGTGGTTTTAAATTCTGTACTACAGCATACCTGTATGTTATGTATCCTTGAGTTTACGTTCTCTGTTGCTGCATGTATGATATCATTTCATGACATGATAAGTGTTAAAGAAGAAGCAACGCCAAGATGCTCCACACCAAACTTTGTTGAGGACAACGTACATAAGGATGATTCAGAACATAAGGGGGGAGGGGTGTAGTAAGGTGATAGGATAAGTAGGAAGGGGCGAGGGGGAAGGGGCGAGGGGAAAGGTCAGAGGGCATTCTCGAGCGACCGGTTTCAAGTGAAGATCATGCTGATTGACAGACAGACAGACAGACAAGCGCACAGACACTCTCTTTCTTTCTCTCTCTCTCTCTTTTTCTCTCTCGCTATTAATTCCTATCCTTTGCTTTGAGGGCCTGGAATAGTTCCTGATTCAGCTTTTTCTGTTTGTCTACCGCTGCTGATGACTGAACTGACCTGAGGTACACAAACAAATGACAGTAAGAAAAGAAACCATTAAAATATCATTGCTTGTTTAAAGGTAAAGACCAGTATTGGAAACACCCCAATTTCAAAAAATGAAATGGAAGCTCTCATTACCAATCATGTGAAAGAATATGTTTTGACTAATACATGATGATAAAAAATTTGCCGGGAAACCGCCTACTACTTCATATATTTGGTAAATTTGTTTCTCTCATGGTCTGTGAGAGATATAGGGTAGTCCCATATACATCTTTCTGTATATAGTGCTTGTAACTTTACGAAGAATGGGCCAAATTTCTTATCATTTTGATGATTTCAGAACCTTGCAGATGCTAGATGCTAGATGATCAACCTTTTCTGATCGATTCCACATCGTTTCTTTCACAATGCAATCGCATGACCATAACCGATCTTTACCTTTAACTAAGTTAAAATATATTGAATTGAGTATGATGTATCAAATCAGAACGAAAAAAGGAACTTTTTAGTTTTTTGCCCCATTAATAAAAAATGATAACTCCCTGCATGGTCACTGACAGGTGGTTATCTCATCAAATCTGTTCTCAATTAATATAAGGAATAGGGGACCATGGGAACCAAGGGTCACCGATTAGTCATTGTTTTCTATACAGTGTGAGTCAAAAAAAAGTTTACACCTAGAAAATTGCTAATTATTTTTAAAATCATCTATGAACAGTAAATTATTATACTTAATATGAAAGAGTGTTTAATCCTGCATCATTTGGTATCATTTTTGTGGGTTATGTGTTCACGCTTGGATGAACAGGAGGCCTTGTTTGCGTGAGTGCAAAATTCGACTTGTGCCAAAGTTGCTTATGTGATGTTTGAATAAAACAATTGGGATTTGGGTATTAATTCAGTCTTTACAGATCCAAATAACATCCCTAACAAAACATTATGCCACACATATCAAATATTGAATATCAAATATTAACGAACATTTTGTGCGCCCGTGTGTGTCTGTGTGACCTTGTAAAAAAGCATATGTAATGCATTTTATTTGATACATTCAATTCATTCTCTCACTCCGCAAATCCGCACGTAATACATACTGTAGGCATCACTTTGGCGCAAGTCGATATTTGCACTCTCGCAAACAATGCCTCATGTTCATCCAAGCATGAACACATACCACACAAAAATGATACCAAATGATTTTGGATAAAACACTCTTTCATAAGATGTATAATAATTTACTGTTCATAGATTATTTTTGAAATAATAAGCAATTTTCTAGGTGTAAACTTTTTTTTTGACTCAAACAGTATAGAGGGAGCAAGTAGCTACAAGTAGGACAGTGTGGCTTAAATGGCTCTAGAACGATACTTACATGGAATTTCTCTTGCTAATAGCAATGACCACTGGATATTTATTTTGATGCAAAATACCCGAGGCGACTTACCTTAAACTATTTACGATATCCTTTGTCTTGCCAAAGTAGATCTGGTTCAGTGTGTTCCTAATCTTGTTCTCCATGTCCTAGAAAGAAAGAAAGAGAAAAAGAAAAATGAGAGAATTACAACACTGTTGCCTTGGCAGACTCCGGGACAGAGATTTATCAAAAGGGAAAAATTAATCAAATTTTCTATTCTGTTCTGTTAACATTAATATCATAAATTCAATGCTACACTTTTTAGATGAGACATTTATTTCACACTTTCTCAATTTCCTAATAAAATTAGTTATTTATTTAAAAGGCAATGCACGAATACAAAATTTGGGAAAGTTATTAAAAATTGTGTTTCATTTGAAATCCAAAGAAACGCACTATGCCAGTTGCCCCGGGTAACGGGCAATAGTTAATGTCGAAGATGCCCATTGCCCCTGATAACTGGTCGCAAAGTTATATTTTACTGAGATGCCCATTGGTTTACATGTAAAAAGTTTCTTTGTGCGAGCGCGGATACCAAACAGTGTGTTTGCGATTCTTAAATGATCATAACATTCAGGCAGCTTTCCAGCAAAGATTAACAGTGTCTCAGAATTTCTGTGATGTTTTAACCAATCTTTACTCAAAAAGAGGATAATGCTTGAATTCTTTGTAGATTTTTTTGTGAATTCGGTATATATAAAAGATATACGGATTGCTTAAATATTCGAGGCATAGCTGTTTCTATACTGGCTCTCATACATCCTGCTACATGTATGACCCCGAGGCAGATGTAACATCCTATGAGAGCCTACAGTATACAAATAATGAATGAATGAATGAGAAACATTCATTAATATACAACATCGAAGTAGATCTAATAGAACGTTAATCTTTCAACAAATATAAAGTTGGAGTCAGGCCTTCTCAATTACATTCAGATAGCCTTCACGTCAGATGCACGCAGCGTATAACATTGGGACACGCGCAGGGCAGAGAGGTACGCCGTCTGCATTTAACCAAAAATGCATGCTCGTTGAATAGTACTACGGTGAATAGTACCAAAAATGCAAGCCCGTCCAATAGTATATCTATTGAATATCATGTGACCAAGAATCCTCCAATCAAATGACAAGGATCTACATAGGTATTGTATAAACACAGCTATGCCTCTCATAGCAGTCTATATATCTTTACTATGACATACCTCTACCATGGTGCCGATGTTGGCTATGTGTGATTGGCCGCTACTGACAGTCATGTCGATCTCCACCTGTCTTGTGAGACTACCTCCGAGGTTGACGGTCCCTGATCCACTCTTGGTAGTCTGTTATCAAACAATACAAATTATGAATAACAGGAAAAAATTACACTGGCCCTCGGGGCAAATTAGCCCCCAAAATGCCCCAAAGAGCCCCCGAAAGTCATAAAAGAGCCCCCCAAATGTGCATAGAGTTCAATGCAAAACAAATTAAATATTATTTTAAAGCAGGCAAGCTTGAAAAGTACCCCCCCCCCCCATTTTTAAATATTTTTTTAACCTGATGACAAATAATATCTTATTGCTTCTATATCAAATTCCTAAGTCTCTAAAAACCACCCTCAGTGGTCTCTTACCAATAAACAATATTCAATATGACACTGCTGTCTCTATCCACGGTATTTGAAAGATAATACTAATATAGAACTTCCGTTCTAGAAAGTAAACAGGTTTCCTCGCATACCGGGTAATTTGAATAAAAGGACACTGCTAACGTTTGATTTTCACAGATAGGACATACGTGACATATTCATAATTCCTGCAAAGCTCTACAGTATTTTATGTTGGCTGCAAATGGGACATAGAACCTTTAAGACAGTAAGTATAAATTAATCAAAGGTAAAAAGCACACAAAAAACGAATTAGAAGAGCTAAATATAATATTAATATTCTAGAATTATAAAAATATTGTCCAGACTTTTATGTGCATTTAACTATTTTAGTCAGAATTAAAGCGGAAGTGGCTTCACATCATTGATACTCGTACTGCTGGTTTGATGTCACTAAAATTCTGAGCCCATTTAGATCCCCCCTCCCACCCCCCCCCCCCTCCCCTCTCCAAGGAAGCATGAAATCTTTCAGAAATTTTGATTTTATCAATCATATGACTATTCAGACACTTGGTTATTAAGATTTTACATGTTTAAATGTTCATATCCAATGCTATTGCAAATTCTTTCACAATAAATCCAGTTCACGGTTGCAGTCTGAGCATGAGCAGATAAAGCTCATTGCAGAACAAACTGTGAAATACACGGAGACAAAATACTGTACACGTGCTCATGAAGTTATGTAATCATTATTGATTTATGCACAAGCAGTGCACTCGATGATACACAGGTGGAAGTATTCTTTGAAAAGGGGAAACAAAGGTTATTTATGTAGCATCTCTATCGCTGTAGGAGTGATTATTTCAAAATGTACAAAGTAGGACCTCTTCATGTTTTGAAGATCTGTGGATATTCGGGGTCATTGCAGAGATGTCCTAACCATGAACTGGTCTATTGGATCGTGCGTGGTGGGCTTTCATACCCCTCTTTTCACGTAATACAGTGTGAAAAACAAAAATTCAATCGAATCATAACAAGGCTATAAACAATACTTGTTTGTTTGTTTGTTTGTTTTATTTTGTTTACCTGAAGCCAGAGCATAACTGTTGATGTCAGCTTGTAGTGTGCACTCCTGCCTTGAGCTTTCTCCTGTAGTAAACAATCAAATAGTAAGTTGATTTAGATCAATGATCTCACTCTTCAAATTGGCAACAAATGTTTATTAATGGTGTAGCCGGATTCTTGACTCTCTTTTTTTATTTTGATGGATGGGGCAAGAAAAAGAAATTATAAGAATATTTTATTGAACTTTCTCCTGTAGTATACAATCAAAATACTGTAAGTTGCATTTAATAGATCAATCATTTAATTCTTTAAATTGGCAATACATGTTCCCTAACAGCTTCCTTAACTCTCCGTACTTTGATGGATGGGGCATGAAACCAAAATAATATGAATATACTATTGAGCATTCTCCTGTAGTAAACAATCAAATAGTAAGTCATATTAGGTCAGTGATTTAATTCTTCAAATTGGCACAAATGTTTCCTAATGGGTTTCTTGATTCTCCTTATTTTGATGGATGGGACAAGAAAAAAAAATAATATGAATATACAACTGAACTTTCTCCTGTAGTAAACAATCAAAATACCGTAAGTAGCATTTAATAGATCAATCATTTAATTCTTTAAATTGGCAATACATGTTTCCTGATGGCTTTCTCGATTCTCCTTATTTGATGGATTAGGCAAGAAAGAAAATAAAATGAATATTTTATTTAGCTTTCTCCTGTAGTTACAATTAAAATAGCAAGTTGTATCAGATCAATGATTTGAATCTTCAAATTAGCAACAAATTTCTCCTAATGGCTTTCTCAACTCTCCATATTTTGACGGATGGAACAAGAAAAAAAATTACATGAATAATTTATTCATAAGTTTACATGAACTGGAAAGGACATTGACAAATGAAAGATGTTGAGGAAAATGAAGAAGAAAAAGAGGGGGAAATAGAAATATCAAAAGAAAAGAGAAAGGCTTGATGAGAGGTAGTTTAGATCAGAAAAGACTACTGCGAAGGGATATCTGGAAAGAGATAGGAAATGGGAGTTAGGAAGGTGTAAAAATATAACATGAAGTAGAGGAAGACAAATAAGAAGAGAAATCAAAAGGGAATTAAATGAGACTCAAAAGGAAGAGTAAAACAATGAAGAGCTTGAGTAAAAAATATGTACATGTAATAAAAGACTCCACATGAAAACATTATTAAAACATGTTTTGTTACCTGTACTTCAACAACATGAATGGAGTCCCAGCATCCCTTGATCTTCTTTGAGCCATCTCCAGCCTTCTTGATGAGGATGACACCAGCGAAGCCGTGAGCAAGATCCCACAGATATACTGATGATACGCCACCCTCAAAGTACCTAGAATGTAAAGCAAGACAGAGAATGAGAAAGTCAACTACAAATATGTAGATCCCACAATTATAATAATGATAGTCCACCCTCAAAGTACCTAGAATTCAAAGCGAGTCAGAGAGTTAAAACTATGAGCTAGATCCTATACTGATGATACTTCACATTCAAAGTATCTAGAATGCAGAACGAGTTAGAGAATTGAAATTATGAGCTAGATCCCACAGATATACTGATGACACCCTATCCTCAAAGTATCTAGAATTCAAAGCAAGTCAGAGAATTGAAACTATGAGCTACTATAAACGCTGTTATTTCCGCTGAGCGACCCCAAACATATTCGCGGGTTCTTAAATTTGTGTTGCACGCAATTCAGCCTGTTCAAAACATGCATAAGAAGTGATGCTTATAATTATATTCGCGGGTTGTGATATTCGCGGAAACCGACTTTAGCCGAAATCCACAAAAATTAAAGCACCGCGAATATTACCAGAGTAGATCCTATAATGATGATACTTCACACTCAAAGTATCTAGAATGCAGAACGAGTCAGAAAAATGAAACTATGAGTTAGATGATCCAATATACTGATGACACCACACTTGCAAAGTACTGTATCTAGAATTCAAAACTAGACAGAAAATGAGACTATGGGTTAGATCCCACAGATATACAGACGATACTCCGTCCGCAAAGCACCTAGAATGCAAAGCTAGACAGAGACTGAAACTATGAGCAAGATTCCATGATTATAATATCCGCCTCTAAATGTGCCTAGACTTTATACTAGACAGAGAAATCTTGACAATGATGACCCTAACTAAGTCATGAGCTAGATGACACAAGTATACGGATGATATACCACCCTCAAACTACCTAGAATTCAAAATAGGAAAGAGAAAATGTGAATGAACCCGAAAACTGGATAAGTAACACCCCCACCCCAATGAGAAGTCGTCCTTGTAACTTATTTGACATAGAGACATGTACTCAAACGGTTACCACCAAGGAGCATAAAAGGGATAAGGAAATATAAATTAAGGCTTGCTATTCAAGAGAAACGCCATGCATGCTGAATTTTATGGGAGTTGTTGAAATATCTACTCATTAGTTGCTCTTTTTTGTTTTTATTCCATTATTCCTATAGTGGAGAGAGCACTATAAGATTAAATGACCTAGTTCAGCAAATATGGATGTTTGGTCTCAAAACATGCAAGTAAACTTAGCTGTTTGGACAAGCCTATATGTAATCGTATTGTTTGGAGAGTACATGTGCAAATAACTGTTTGTTAATACAGGCTTTCTGCTCAATCTGATTCCTGTTCCTTACCCATTTGATGCATAATTAAAGTACTCAAAATTCAGAAGAAATATGGAAGCTACAGAAAATGAATTAGAAATGATGTTTTTTTTGTTTTTTTAATCAGAAAGGGCTTCCAATTTGATTGACGACAACAGAAGAATTACAAATACTTCAATCACTGACACATCTACACTACAGTATATATGCACGTGTAATTTCATTCCTTAACAACCAAAGTTATCAGTGGCTCTTGGGCTTGGGTAAACAGTTACTGTTTGTTACAGCAAATTTATATATTGCCAATTTAAGATCGATGGAGGTATGTGGCTGGAAAATCACTAAAAGTGTGTTAGTCATAATACAACAAGGGTATATACACTGTACAGTAGGCTTCATTTGCACCATGTGAGAGAGGGGGGAGGGCTGGGGAGCCCTAAAATGGACTGTTGTTAATAAATCTTTCTTGAGTGTGTGTAGTCCTGAAAAGGACTGTTGGTAATCTTTCTTGAGCTTATAGTTGTAAAGAGAACTACAGTGCTGGTTGGAGAGGATGGGTAGTAGGATGGGCTCGACGTTTCGAACAGGTTGACTATCCATCTTCTGACGATAGATTGTCAACCTGTTCAAAACATCGAGCCCAACCTCTCCAAACGGCGCTAATGTTCCTTTAGTTAAAACTATAAGCTCAAGAAAGATTTCCAACAGTCTTTTTCAGGACTACCAACAGTCCTTTTCAAACACACTCAAGAAAGATAGATTACCGACAGTCCTTTTCAGGACTCCACAATCCTCCCCACTCTGCCACATGGTGCAATCGTAAGCCTACTGTATATCTACATCACCATGCAAGCGATACTTATAAGCAGCATCTAACAAGGGTATATAGGCTTTAACAATCTTCATGGCAGTCATGGTTCTGCCTTTGTAATATTTTGCCATAATTGGGATATTAACACAATTCATGACGGAACTTAATGAATGTATACCGGTATCATACATGTACATGCTAATAATAGTGCAAGATAGAAATAAATATAACCATAATTGCTGCCAATGAAACCAAAAATCTTCAATGGTTAGTTTTGGTTGCTAAATTGGCAATAAACCTGTCCAACATCTTTGAAAGCCATGATTAGATCATAGAATAATAGTTGTGGCAGAGCACTACATGATAACCAATTATTAATTATTCTTTTGAGTTAATGGAAGAATACTATTGCAGAAGAAACAAGAAGCACCAGCTTATATAATCACTACTACAAAAAAGCTTGCCATATTTTAATTGTGGAAAACTTACAATTCTCTGTATTGATCAAAGGCCAGGTTAGCTTCTACTTCCAGTTTCCTGACGTTGTCAGATGGGATGGCTCCGCTCTCCAGTGGAGGGTCGTATGTGTTGCTCCAAGGGGACCTGGATGAAATTTAAAAAGAAGTCAGTTTGACATCTAGAAGAAACAGTAATGGTTACAGCTAGTGGAAGGTGCTTGCTTTTTTGAAGGCCTCCAAAAATGAATGCCTAATGTCTATACACCACAGTAGATAGATGGGAGAAAATACTATTTGAGGACATTCCTCAGCTGCGCAGGGCTAGCTGATCATGTATTTACTATGCACAATACCAAGGGGGAGGGGGGTTTTTCATAAAGATGTGCGTAAAGTTATGAATGACTTTACAAATGATTTAAATATGAAGAGCCAAATGTGATGCCCAAAGTGTTTCCTGACATTTTAACAAAGTGTGACTGTATTTCCATAATCTCTCTTAAATTGTAGCCAAAAATACACTTTGCATTAAAATGTTTTGTTGATAATGATAACAAGGTTAATCTACATCTGCATATTACAACTTTAGCTCACGCAATTAAAAGGATTTCAGAATCCTATTTAGCTCTTCATATTCAAGTCATTTGTAAAGTCATGCGTAACTTTACACGTAACTTTACGGACAGCTTTATGAAACACCCCTAGGAACTCCAGGCATTGTGCATGGTGAATATATAACCAGCTGGCCCCTGCGCACCAAACATTACTGCTGAACATACTTAAGAGGGTGTTTTAAAAAAAAAAAAATTGATCATCTGAAAATCGCAGAACCTGTAACTAAAGACTTTTAACACACACTGGATTATTGGTTTTGTGTAAAGGGATACAGAAAGTTATTCAAGAAAATGTTCTGTCAAGAACAGAGTTGAGTAAACCGAAAGATGCCAGAAACATACGAGGTTAGATTTCAAAAGACAAACAATTTACAATGTTAGCTTTGTCTGAATAGGTTTTGTTAAACAAGCCTTTTCTGGTTTTAATATAAAAACTTCCCAATCTAATTTTTCTTGTTGGACAATTAAGCTACCTAAGGACATTGTTCAAACCCCTTTGAACGATCTCTTTCACTTGGAAGTGATCACTCCAGGGAAAACGATACAAGGGACTTGAGGCAAATTCGCCCTGAAATGCCCAAAAGAGCCCCTGAAAGTCATAAAAGAGCCCCTAAAAATCTGCATACATGTAGAGTTCAATGCGAAACAAATCAAAGAGTGTTATTTTCATGCAAGCAAGCTTGAAAAGTAACCCCCCTCCCTAATTTTCAAAATATTTTTTTGCCTGGATGACTCACCTGTACGAGTCTGCGTCTCTGTTGTATTCACACAATAAATAGTCCTTTCCCTGTTCTCTATCTCTGGCGATCTTGAGTGGTTGATCAACGGATGATAGCAAATCTTCACATAGCTCTGGTACCTGCAAATCATAAAACAAGAAAACAATGCATTATTAAAGGGACTTGGTAACATTGTTCAGATGAGAGATAGTGGTGCTAAGGTAGTGACTTCAATGCTAGATGTACAATTAAAGATAATCTAAATTGAGTGAGAACGGACCATTATTCATGGTACAAATTGGGAAAAACTGATCTGATCGATTCCGTAATCCTCCCAACTATATTATTACAATTTAATTACATTTTAGGTGAATGTAAATCGTCACAAAGCAATAAAATGGCTCTACATTGCATTCCAGACATTTAAGTGTTGACAGATTTTTTTATAGCCTGTTTTATGTCTTTTTTAAGTTTTTTTCATGGAAAAACAGTTGGGGAAAAGTCAAAAATGGATGGGAGAATTTACTGTTAAATGGTAATCACTGTTAGAGAGTTTCATACATCGACGCCTTCAAAGAAAACCATAGATCTTCGTGGTTTAAAAAAAAATCAGAATTTTTTGCATGTCAGAGGGTTAGTACAGTAGAAGGAATATAGTAAGTAACATTTTAGACAAAAATTTAGCAATTTTTTCATCAACTTTCAACAATGTTACCGAGTCACTTTAATCATGTTCCTGCATTTCATTTTGATTGATTGCAAAAAAGAAGGTAACTTTTATTCTGGATACAAGTGGAATGCATGTACAACGTACACTGTTGCCCATAGAATTGGAGTAATGTTGTATTGTCTCTTTTTGATAAATCGATTGTGACAGTATGGTTTATTCTTGATAAAGTTTTTAAAACATGTAACATCTCATCAAAATTTTACTGACAAATCTCTATGACTCTTTAGATAGATCATTACAGTTAAACATTATAAATAATAATAATAATAATGGGTTCTTGTATAAATAAAACAAATAAAACATATCGTCACAATCATTTAATGAAAAGAGGTAATAAACAAATTATTCAAATTTTATTAGCACCAGCAGTGGATTAATTAGTTGATATTCATACTGTCCTATTCCACATATGGAGTTAACTGACTCCTGTACATGTATTTGAAATATGTATGTAGTGTCATTAACAAACAAAAAATTATATTAGACAGAAATAATACAAATTATTTTCAAATCTTCTTCTTTACTGTTTATTTTTGTATTATGTTTAATTTTAGTAATTATTCTTGATGTACATGTAGTTGCTCGTTTTGATTTTGTTTGCATCTCATTTCCTTGTACAGGTGAATGTCCATGTAGGTCTGCAATACATGTACATGTATACACGTACACCATGCATACAAGACCATTCATAAAAACTAGGCAAACATGTTAGTACCATATACGGTCAAAATCTGCTTCAATGGATATGAATTGCATTTAAATTACACATTTAGGTACAATGTAATTTGCATATCATGATAGGATGCAGAATCTTTATGCATCACTAGAAATACGTACATGTAATAGAGGCATAGAAAAGGGTCAATGGCTTGTTCATATTGTCTAGGCCTTGTGTATCATAAAGTACCACTGCATGTACTGTAGATGTGTATACATGTACGGTATGTAGTACATGTAAACTGGTCCTTTGAAGCAAAATCGGTCTAGTGCTTCACAAAAATGTACAAATTCTAAACTAAAGGTAAGCTAGAGTTCAGCTGAAAGAAAACAATTTTTCACTGTCACAAATTCAAATGAAACTTACATGTACCCCACATGTTCAAGACTATAATCAAATAATATCCAAAAAGCAATTTGGGTAGGAAATGTGTCATATCTGTGTGATATACATCTTTCTGTGTACAGTGCTTGTTACTTTATCAAGACTGGGCCAAATTTCTTATCATTTTGATGACTCCAGAGTCCAGAACCTTGCAGTACACACCAATACTTACAAACTGTATGCTACATGATCAACTTCTTCCGATCAATTCCGCACACTTTCTTTCACAGTGCAATTGCATGACCAGAACTCAATTTTATCTTTATTTAAAGTATAAAATTAGAGTCTGCGACCAGTGTGCTTGCAGTCTAGAAATGCCCAAGTGCATTGTGTATATCTGCTGAGAGCCAGAAGGGCATTAAATCACACTTTCACTGAAAGCTAATGCATTTGGTTCTCCATTTGTTAGTTTCAATTTTCAATTCCATAGCAGGTTATCAATGGTTTCCTTTAGATGGCGATGCAAGAAACATGTACATGTAAATTGCTCCTATGGAAATCATTATAAGAATCAAATGAAAAGCCAGTTTCCCTTGAAATACCATTCCTAGAGTGGAGGTTACTTTCAAAATAATGAAACACTTCCTTCTCCACAGACTGCAGGACAAAAAAATTGTGTTTCTTTTTGGTGTTTTTTTGTATACACTGTGCAGTTGCTAACAATAGCCCTACAGGTATCAAGGATTTATTGTTGTTGACAGTAAGGAGAGTCTCTAATAGGCCAATCAATCTGCAGCTCAGAATGATGTTATAATGTTTCACTAATCTATTAAAAAAGTAACAGAACATTTCTTACACATGAAACATTAGAGATTTGTGGAGCACACGATGTAAGAACGAGGGAAAGTACACTTATATCTGCGAAACGGCGACATTGCATGACAAAAACACAAATCTAAGAGCAAGCAGCCAAGCATGACCCTAACAGAAGAAAAATAAAAATAAAAATGAATACAACAAAATAATGAGGAAACAGCACCAGGTGTAACTGCACTGTTCTCTGGCAGTTTAAGGATGAACTCCAGCCAGCTCACAAATCAAAATTGATCTAGTAACCCAGGTGATGCACCTATATTAACCCTAGCCATGCATGCCGCCCCTAGCAGATCAGATAGAAGTGTCAGGTCCCTTGAAAGGTAATGCAAATTTCAGAACAGTGTATGTACAGTGTAAATGTATATAGAAAGCAAGGAAGGAGTGATCAGGGACATTAACTAATTATGCGTACACTATCTTGAATGCATAATTCAGGTATTCATAACTCTCTACAGTTGAAATTGGGGTATGCAAGCTGTTTAAAGAGAAGGTTGAGTTCTGGGAAGAGGTAAAAAGTAATTCGTCAGCGTTATCATTGTAAATGTTCCCTGAAAAGCATGGCTTTTCAAATGCCTTTAATATTCTAAATATGTCATGTAACAGCATAAAAATCGGGACGGATTTTGATGCCACATGTTGGTGAAGTCTCATTTACATCTTTCTGTGTACAGTGCTTGTAACTTTACCAAGACTGGGCGAAATTTCTTATAATTGTGATGATTCCAGAACCTTGCAGTACATACCAATACTTACAATGTATATGCTAGATGATCAACCTTTTTTGATCGACTACACACTGTTTCTTTCACAATGCAATCGCATGACCAGAACTCAACTTTATCTTTAATACTTCATACGTTGCCTAGATCATGGTACTTATAATCTCAATCGAAACCACGAAAACTGCTTGTGACGCAGCCAAAGATCTATGGGTTGCAGAGCTCGAACTTGCAGCTCAACATGCGGTTTCCTGTGGATTATTCTCAACACCGGTATTAGACTTCCCCTTCAGAGCAGAAAGATTGACACTTTGGGTAATCACTTCAGTCTGTAGTACATTGTACATGTATGTACGGGTACAGAGTATTGAAACAATGTGCCCTCTCTCGATTCTCTCGATTCTCTCCAACGTTTTTAAGACACATTAGACACATCCTCTAGCGCCAGTTGCTCTGCCGCAGTACGCTACACTATTAAACCAGACTCCTAACTCCACTTCTGGGGGGGGGGGGGTGTTTCACAAACACTAAGATTGACTTTAAGTTGCGCTTAACTATGACAGGCTGTTCATGCCGCTGTTTGCTCTCACCATTTACTGGCATACATTGTAGGTCTCTCAATGGACATAGAAATCATGGTCGCAAAACTACAGAATTAACATTTTTTGATAATTCTATATCGAAGTAAAAAATAGAATCTAAAGATCAAAGTGGTGAGGGCAAATAGTGGCATGAACGGCCTGCCATAGTTAAGTCTAACTTAAAGTCGATTTTAGTCTTTTTGAAACATTCCCCAGGAATTTACAGGCCAACACTAACTATATCTAATCTTTTCTTGTGTTTTTATGTTTCCTAACTTCCCTCTCTTACATGTACTGGTACTCTCTGTCTTTTTCTCTTTTGCATTTACGCCCACCCCCCCCCCCCCTCTCTCTTTCTTTCTCTATCATTTTCTCATTCTCTCTGTCTGTCTATCCCATTCTCTGTCTGTCTACATAGTACATGTATGTCTCTTTATCATTCTCTCTGCCTGTCTGTCTCTCACTTCCTCTCTCTCTCTCTCTCTCTATCATTCTCTCATTTTCTCTCTCTCTCTATCTCTCTCTCTCTCTCTCTCTCTCTCTCTCTCTCTCTCTCGTCCTCTGTCATTCTCTCTGTCCATCTCTTTCTCTTCCCCTGGCTATTATTCTCTCACTCTCTCTCTCTCTCTCTGTTTATATACCAGTATATCTCTCTCTTCCTCTATCATTCTCTCTGTCCCTCACTCTCTCTCCTCTCGGTTTCGTTCGACATGAAGCTACATCTACATCATGTAACCCACACTTTCTTTTTGACATCTTTTCCCACACTATCTCCCTGTCAACAATTTCCTTGTTGTCTCTATACAAATCTTATCAAATCAATCATTTCCTCCAATAGCTTCCTCTTTCATTACTTTCCCTAGATAAACATTTATTTGATCATTTATTCCTGTTCCATTAATTGCAAATTTGCAATCCTATCAAAAGGTCCAATGTCCCAAAGAACCCAGCATCCCAGATGTTGTGCCTTTTCCCTGCAATTAAAAAGGTTCTGCACATTTTGCATTGAAGTTTGGGGCAATGAAACAACTACAGATACATTGTAACTCTAAGAGACAAGTCAAGTCAAGTCAATTCCCAAAATCAATAGCAAAATAAGAGGGACTTTGGCAAAGTTCACTAATTGGTCCACAGATGAAGCTATCTAGATTACTCTCTGTAAAATGTATTGTCTCTTAATTAAAAATTCTAGGTAAACATGTTGGTACAAGTTTTTGTATTTAAAAATGGCCTCTCTATATGCAATGATATTGATTTTTTTTAATAGATAACCTGGGCATTTAGAAGATAGATGTAATGACTGTATGTAATTTAGTTCTGATTTTGTACCAAATAAACTCCTATTCGGAGGCAAACGTAATTAACATACCTCTTAAAGGGAACATTAGTTTCACTTTGATATGTTATTACATGTAGTTTCACTTTATTATTATAACCTCCTAAATTTGGGGAATTCCCCTACAAAAGTGAGGCTATGCAGTTGCCCAGGATAAAAGGATTGAACAACACAGCATGGTTAAAAAAAACAATTCAGTATGATAAAAGAGATAAATTCTTCTTCTTTTGCTATTTTTTAAAAAGAGTCCAAAGTCCATGTAAAAAACATATAAATTGAAAGATATGGACTGTCTATAGCTGATCTGAAACTGGTACTGTACATACTGGCTATATTCATCCTGTCATGGAATACTGTACCCCAGTTTTTAATGGTGGGCTTACACAGAAACAAATAAGAAGCTTGGAGCAAGTTCAACAAAGAGTTTGTACCGGTAGAATCATGTTGGGTCCACAATACACAAATTATACACATGCTTGCCAAACATATGATTTTTATAGTCTTGAATCGAGAAGGGTAAATCTTTGTCTGGATTTCGCTACATCCGTAGCTAAACACCCAACCTGTTCATGTACATGTAGTACCTGGTTACCTCTTCCGAAAAACATACCCATCTCCTTACGCCATGCATCTACATATCAACAGTTCAAGTGCAAAACCAATCGTTTCTGAAATAGCCCCATACCTGACTTTGTCGATCTTCTCAATAAAGCCAAGCCCAATTAATCAAAATAGATGAATTAATATACAATTTTTTATTTGTATTATACTTTCTTCACAGATGTTGAAGTTTCCTGATTTTCACTCTCCATAAGATAATAACAAACCAAAACACAATTCTGTTCCCTTTCCCTTTAATAGCCACTTTATATCTGAAGGAAAAGGAATGTTAGAGAGTCATATTAGTTTTTTTTTTAGTTTTTTTTTTAATAACATTTTTCTAAGCAATAATACAAATACTTGCAATATCAAACGTCAACAATACAATGTTATGAAAAGAATATGTTCTTTTCTATTTTTTTATATTTGTATATTGTCTTAATGACTCTTTAAAAATACATGTACACTGTATGCAATTTATATTTGTTGATGTACAGTACATGCATTTTTACAACTTGTTTTCTTCATGTTTCTCCTCTTCGTTTTTCTGACTTCATGTTTCAATTGTTTTCTTATTTTTGCTGCCCAAGCAATTAACTATATATGTTCAAGATTGACACATCAATTGTAACTGTATTTTATGTTTGGGTCATTCCATGTCAAATCACCCAAAAAATCTGAAAATCTTAACCCGACCATTTTTGATTTTGATGAAACTTGGTGAACTTGTTGAGTGTGATCTCACAGCACCAAATCCCAAATTTTAGGTCAATCGGGTGAGGGGTTTGGGAGATACGGCCCACCAAATTTTGAGATTTTTTCAAAAATGGGGGTGGCGGGCCTACCTTTGAACCCTTGTATCTCGGGACCTAATGGGTCAATCTTCTCAAAATTTGTATTGTTGGAAAGGGTATTCAATAAGGATTCCAAATCTGCCGCCATTTTGAAGATTCGTACATGTTGGGGTACTTTGACCTCTTGACCTCAGATTTGACCTTGAAATTGACCTTGTGGATCAATAAGGAGCAATAAGGATTGAAAGTATCCATGCTCACAGATATTCACAATAAACCCTATTATAATGTATACAATACATGCAATATGCACAGTACAACATACATCTTCCACATGCTTTTTTGTTTTAGGCATATCCATCCTAAATGTCAGCAGTACTTGAATAGAAATAAAATGACAAGTTCATATAGGCCTAAAGGGTTAACAGGATGTATGGCTTTAGACCTCCGAGTCATTTCTAGGAAAATTCCCCCCCCCCCCCCCCCCCCGGAAAACTACCCTCTAAGGACAATTACCCCAGAGGACAATTACCCCCCCCCCCTATTTGTTAAAGGGGAAGTCCATCCTGATAATAAAGTGGTTTTAATCAAAGCAGATTTTTTTTTTTTGGGGGGGTATAATATTCTTGAGGGGTATTTTTGCCGGGGGGGGGGGGGGGTAATTGTCCTAGGGGGAAATTGTCCGGGGGTTAATTGTCCTTGGGGGGGGGGGGGCAGATTGTCCTAGGAGGTAATTTTCTGGGGGGTAATAATCCTCTGGGTGTGATAGTCCTTGGGGGGTAATTGTCCTCGGGGGGGGGGGACATTTCCTGAGGGTTAATTTTCCAGGGGGGTAATTATCCTAGAACCGACTCAGAGGCCTAAAGCCATACATCCTGTTAACCCTTTAGGCCTACATGAACTTGTCATTTTATTTCTATTCAAGTACTACTGACATTTAGGATGGATATTACTTAATGGATATGCCTAAAACAAAAAAGCATGTGGAAGATGTATGTTGTACTGTGCATATTGCATGTATTGTATACATTATAATAGGGTTTATTGTGAATATCTGTGAGCATGGATACTTTCAATCCTTATTGCTCCTAAACAAAAAATATTATATCTCTGAAACTTTTATATGTTTTAGTGAACATGTCAGAGATTACATTTCATGAAAAATGTTGTCAAAGTTACGTGATCCACAAGGTCAATTTCAAGGTCAAATCTGAGGTCAAGAGGTCAAAGTACCCCAACATGTACGAATTTTCAAAATGGCGGCAGATTTGGAATCCTTATTGAATTCCCTTTCCAACAATACAAATTTTGTGAAGATTGACCCATTAGGTCCCGAGATACAAGGGTTCAAAGGTAGGCCCGCCACCCCCATTTTTGAAAAAATCTCAAAATTTGGTGGGCCGTATCTCCCAAACCCCTCACCCGATTGACCTAAAATTTGGGATTTGGTGCTGTGAGATCACACTCAACAAGTACACTAAGTTTCATCAAAATCAAAAATGGTCGGGTTAAAACCATTGGGTGATTTGACATGGAATGACCCGTTTGAAATATGCAATGAGTCTTTTAATTGTACACATGACCAATTAAGCCATTGGGCTGCGATACATATTTTTAATAAACCTTGAATTGAATTGAATTAAAAGGAATTATGTCAGCATTCTTTCATAGTATGAGAGAAAATGCATAAAAACATATACCATCATCAAAGTTACACCTGTACATGTACATAACAACATTTTTACTTAAAATCGATAAGCATCATTCAATGTCCTTGTATCAAAATGAAAGTAGCTTGGGTTTTCTAACTTACTACGGTGTCTGCAAAAAAACAAAAAACAAGGGAAACGCTCTCGGCGGTCTCGCCTGCATAACGCAATTTGATAGGATGAAAAATTGAGGTTGGGAACATTATTTATAGGCAGGGTGGCCCATTAGCAGGCCCCCCAAAATGAAATCCTCTGAATGTAATCAGCATATTGAAGTAAATATTGAGCAAGAATCATCAGAAGAATATTTACTATTAATTGTACCAGGATCGATAACTTGAATGAAATGTGAACAAATTAATTAAAAAAAAATGATTTATTAATTCTCATATTAAGTTGTGAAAACATAATTCAAGTCTACTGACCTAAAATGACCTTTGACCTTGACTTTGTGACCTGAAATTCTACTCACATGATTTGGAATACTTGATAACCCTATAGTCCAAGTTTCATTGACTAAGAACTTACACTTTAAAAATTACATCAAAAATTCAAAAACTTAACCTTAGCTTAAGTTTTTGATGTTGATGCCGCCGCAGCCGCCGTCGCCGGAAAAGCGGCACCTATGTCTCGCTTTTTTGCTACGCAGGCGAGACAAAAACCTTTTCACTTTTTTATGTCTTAAAAATAGGAGTGCGTCTTATACACAGAGATTTACAGGTATATTATAATATAGGGTATTCTAACTCACCAAGTCAATGAGGTTACTGAGATTCTTTTCAATTTCCTGAGGAGGAAGCCGCCTCATCAGGTCCAAGGCACAATCAAGCTGACGCTCCGTCTAAAAATTAGGAGAGAGAAAATAAACAAATAAATTATCAAATGAAATAGTCATCATAATACAACACAAACATTTTCTTCTGTTATTTATATGATTTAAAGAGATTTCAAGGGATTTAAAGATCAAACTCTATGTTTTTTCTTTATGCTTTTATAAACTTTTCTAAGAAAACAAATTCATTAGAGATACCATAGTGACCTTATCTCAACGGTTTTCTCATCAATTGTATATATGAATGCTCATGTAGTCAGGGAAAAAAATTAATATTTTTTTTCGGGGGCTACTTTTTCAAACTTGCCTGCATAAAAATAATACTCTAAAACTTGTTTTGCATTGAACTCTATACAAATTTCCGGGGGCTCTTTTCTGATTTCCGGGGGCTGTTTTTGGCATTTCAGGGGCAAGTTCGCCCTGAGCCCCCGTGTATTTTTTTCACTGCATGTACATGTAGTACATGTACACACTGGCAATTTTCTATTGTAGATCTGTGCACAAGCACATCTATCACTCATACACGATACATCTACAATTTCTTCAATTATCATTCACTGCACTGCCGCTGCTGGAAAATTAATGCCATCACCTCAGCTAGCAACAACGCATATTTCAACAACAATATTTGTAGACTTTGTCTTTATTAGTAGGGTGTCTGGACGATTTTTCAATCTTCAATTTGGGATCGTTTTTCACCATTTCTTTTAAATATGTGAATAAAAAATGTAATAATAATGATATGTTTCAAATTTCAAGACTCATCGATTATTCTATCAAAAGATACAGCCCCTCTAAAACTCTGCAATATTCATATCAATTTGGTCGGACTCGACGAAAAAGACGTAAACGCAGAGTTATGTTGTTTTTCTAATTTTAGCAAAATAATAAATAAAAAATTTAGTCAAACAGCTAGCACATGCTCCATCGCGCAATATGCATGCGTATGCATGGTGTGCGCATGGTGTGCGCATGTTGCTAAGCTGAATGCGCAATTTGGAGCTTGAGCCACGTTGTCTCCGCGATATTTGCCATTGACTAGTATGGCTAGCCGTTCGCACAATAAAACCCCTAAGTGAATACACGTAATAGTCAATGGCAATATCGCGGAGACAACGTCCACGTTGTCTCCGCGATATGATATTGCCATTGACTATTACGTGTATTCACTTCCGGGCTTTATTGTGCGAACGGCTAGCTATACTTTCATTCACTATAATGTGTAATTGGCTTTAGGGTTTCGTTCGTACGCGCAGATGTTACGCGATGTAACCATGGTTTGGACTGAGCGGAGCTCACGCCTCCCTAATGAGCTGATTCAAAAAATGTGGGAAGGGTATTTTCAAACTGTTACGCCGAATGATCCCTTGGGGCTAGCAAAAAAAAAAGCACCTGGATATTATCCTTACGTCCCTAATAGGTTAAGCCGCGGGGGCGCGGCTCAGGAAAGTGGCAAATTTTGGAGCTAGGATGCAAACAACATTTCAATTGCTGTTGACCAAGATATTTTTAGAATTTCGGGGGTGCGCCCCCTTGGGGAATATGGAAAAAAACCTGCTCTTTCATATGACACCACATTGTTTCACCCTCAGGATCACGAGGAATAAAGGTTTGAATTCAATTTTTTTTTTCATAAAATCATTGACCAATTTTGAATGGTCGCGCAATGCACATAGACCACATAGGGATGCGTGCAATCTCTATGGGAAGCATTTTAGCACTGGTGCGCGATCAGACTCACTGTCTTGACTAGACCGAATTTTTCTGTCTCTTTCGTTCGTTAGCCTCTGATTTGGGTAGGTCGGCTCTCTCTTTAGAGACAGAACAGCCCCATACGCTGTAGTGGCCGCGCGTTTGTACTAAGAAACGTTACACAAAACTTGGCCAAACTTAATCCCTAATTTTGATATTTTACCGGATGCGTATCCGATGCATTTAAAGTCCTAAATTAGCTAAATACTTAACTACTTCGGTTCCACTTACCAACTTGACTGGAATAATCCGTTTAATGGTCCATTTTTAGGAAATTATGGGTCAAGATCGACATCCATGAAGAAAATCTTGCAGCCGAGTCTCATTCTTTCTAGTCTACGCCGAAGGCAAAATGATTATAACGGAAAAACTGTGCACGAGCTACGAGTTCGTAATGACATGCACAGTTTTTCCGTTATAATCATTTTGCCTTCGGCGTAGACTAGAAAGAATGAGACTCGGCTGCAAGATTTTCTTCATGGATGTCGATCTTGACCCATAATTTCCTAAAAATGGACCATTAAACGGATTATTCCAGTCAAGTTGGTAAGTGGAACCGAAGTAGTTAAGTATTTAGCTAATTTAGGACTTTAAATGCATCGGATACGCATCCGGTAAAATATCAAAATTAGGGATTAAGTTTGGCCAAGTTTTGTGTAACGTTTCTTAGTACAAACGCGCGGCCACTACAGCGTATGGGGCTGTTCTGTCTCTAAAGAGAGAGCCGACCTACCCAAATCAGAGGCTAACGAACGAAAGAGACAGAAAAATTCGGTCTATGTCTTGACATGATGCAGTCAAGAAAATCAACAAAAAGATGAGATGAAAATTGAGATAAAATCAGTAGAGGCCCGAGAATAAGGATCGTCCTCATAAACGAGGAAAACAAAAATTAGGACACAATTTTTCAACGTTTACGAGGATTTCCTCGTTTGTGCAGACCAGCACACGAAGCAAATATATCGTTTATCCATGTACAATGAGTTTACGAGCACCCATTGGGTGATCAATCTAGCAAAAAAAATCCCAAGTAACGCCCCCGGGCGCTGATCCAATCAGAAAATTGATGCGTAAATCAGCTTGACCTTAGTTTGACTTGGGCGGCTACTTTGCTCTTCCGTTCGGGCTTACGATCGACTCCTCGGTTTTCCGAACGATTCCTCGTTAGGTTTTCGGGTTTCGGATAATACCGGCAAGTTTAATGACCGTGGGAAAGCGAGCCAAGTTATGCGCATTGCGGCATGATTTGAGTTCATGGAAAGTTCAACTGCGCGTGCCTCGCCAGCTCAAGGAACGCAGTCTAGTCATTGGTGTTATAATTAGCATTGGCGAAATGAAAATCATAATCTAATGGAGGAGATTAATTATGTGCAATATTAATTGTCATGATGATTGGCACAGCAGGTTCTTCCATTCATTCATATTTTGATGTTGCATGTACTTTTATCCTTCCTCTCACTCTCTCATCCCGTTTCTCTATCTGAACTTGCTACTTTCAGATTTTCCTTTTCTTCTTCAGTTCTGGTCTTTCCTCTCTATTTCTATTTCACTCCCACCCCCTGTCTCTCTGTCTGTATCTCTCTCTCTCTCTCTCTCTCTCTTTGCTCTCTCTGCCTCTTCCTCTTTCTCACTTCGTCTCTCCTTCATCCCCTCTGTTTCTCTCTCACACTTTCTGTCCCTCCCTCCTCCTCTCCACCTCTTTTCTCTTATGATGATGTTTTACAGTACAACATTCTATAATTATATGTTATTTTTATCATATTTTGTGGGTTGCACAGGAGCAGGGTCCACGTCCCGCAACCTGGGTGTCATGATTTCTTGAAGCCATGATAGCTGATGCTCCTACATGTATGTAAATACATACATGTATTAATACATTTAAATATCAATTTACCAATTAAAATGGAAAACAAGTTCATAAACATTAGACACGATTGTCGTAATGAGCTGTGCTGCTCATAATTAGGAAATGTATTAGTTGTACAAAGCAAAAGAGATGACTCAATGAGTGCGGACAGGCGCGGATCCAGGGCGAACGGACTTTGCCGCCCCCCCCCCCCTCCCCCGCAAAAAGAGAGAGAGAGAGAGAGAAAGAAGGGAAAGAGGAGAGAAAGGGAAAGAAAGAAGAGGAAGAAGAAAAGAAAAAGGGGAAAGGAGATCGGGCGGCAAAAGGGCCTTGCCTCCCAGCTGTTACCTCCCCCTCCCCCCCCCCCCCCCATCACAAAATAAGAGAGAAGGAAGGAAAGGGAAAGGAAAAAGAGGAGGGAAAGGAAAAAGAGGAGATAAAGGGAAAGAAAAAAAGAGAAAGAAGATAGTTAAGGTGTAGATTGGGGGGGGGCACTGTCGCACTGATGGGGGGGGGGGGGGGTTGGGCTTGGGGAAGGGGGTGACAGATGCCCCCAAAATATAATTCAAACGTGGTTTATTTCTAATTCGATACCGGTGATTTACAAATATTACTAAAATGACATGATTTTCCTAGATTTTTTTATGAGTGTTGGGAAATGGCAAATTCCTAAATAAGGAAAAAAGAATAGTGACCTGCCTTTGTCACAAAATAATGAGGAGTCAAAATGTGCTCATCTGACCGTAATTAAAAGCCTATATTCCCTGAGCTTCTGTGTGCTCCTCCCCTTGACCCCCGCCGGGGCTTCGACCCTAGACCCCACGCTAATTTACGTTACGTTGATCGTTTCTACCCCCCCCCCCCCCCCTCAAAAAAAACAAAAAACAAAAAAAACACCAACAACAACATCAACAATAACACGTTTTTGCTCATTTCGCCACTGCTGGGTCACCATTACGTACCAATATTTGGCTTGCATAATTTCAAATCCCCCCCCCCCCTAAGAAATTCTGGATCCGCGCCTGAGTGTGGAGGTATATGTATGTATTGATTGATTGAGTTTTATTCGACAAGCTTCGAACATACAACATTATACAATAATAACAAATCAACAAGTCAGCTTGAACAGGATAACCCACGAGAGCTTATTTCCAGTGGGGTCCCTTACAGACATATATAAAATTAATAAGTAAAAATAGTCATATTTACAGACAGATAAGAAAAATAAAAGAATTACCTTTTAAAGATAATAATAATAACATTAAACTGATGATAGAAATGATAATAAGTACAAGAAGAAAAGGAAGAAGGAGAAGAAGAAAAAGAGGAGGAGGAAGAAGAAGAAAATAATGATGAATTAGTAGAATTTCTATAACGTACGAAAACATAAATATATACAAAATGAAAAAGTATGAACCGGCAGAAGAATACAAATTTCAATCACATGTCATTCACTTCTCCGACTGTCAAGTATTAGGTTTTCCTTTAATTTCCTCTTAAAATGAGCATAGTTTTTTTTTTGAGCTTTGAAAATTGACATCCAACACAAGGCCCCCCCCCCCCCCCCCCCCCCCCCCCGCTCTCTCTCTTTCTCTCTCTTCTCTCTTTCTCTCTAATTATTTATCTCAATGTCATACCCCTTTCCATCACATCTCACTCTGATCTAATATGAAATTGGACTGAACAGGAAAAGAATGACCGCATCAAAGATGTATGCACTTACATAAGTTATACATTTAATGATACCCTCCGACATCTCTGAATAACATATTTGAATACATAGAGTAGAATAGAATAGAAATGGTTCTTATTAGAAAGATCATCGCAGCCAATGGCTGAATTGCGATCCATTTCACAAACATACAATTGCAATTTAAATTGAAATAACACAAAATATGACATAAATCAAAAATCAAACATAGACCCCCGATAGGCATTTAAAAAGTCATTGATCAAATTCAAATTTTTGTTAAATAAAAGACAGAGAAAGAGAGAGGTGTAGAGGAGGGAGAGTTGGAGTGATGATAAAGAGAGAGAAAGAGAGGAAGAGAGGAAGAGAGAAAAAGAGAGAGAGAGAGAAGGGGGGGACGAAAGAGTGAGACGGAAAGAGAGAGAGATATATTATATATACATTTATGAATATAATAAGCGATGACTGAAAGCATAACATTGATAATAATATGATACTACACATACAAAAAAGAAATATTAAAAAAATAATTACCAAAAAAAAAAAGCTGCCCCCAACCCCACTAATTTTTTTTTACCCCCCCCCCCCCAAAAAAAAAAAAAAAATGCAACATTGTTACTGAAAATAATTTGGGAAACTCAATTATATAATACTGTCAAACGATCAAAATCCTCTCAAGATTTAACCATTTTTATCAAATTTGTCAGTTTTGTTAGCAAGTATACTAACCTGCCTCTCATTTATGAAACTATTACTGATATGTTATTTTATTGTCATATTACAACTTTCCATTTCGGACTTGTATTTGCATTTATTTATTTGACAGAGTGCTTTAATTATTTGACAGAGTGCTTTAATTATTTGACAAAGTGCTTATTATTTGACAAAGAAATTAATGTAGGAATGGAGACCACCAAATCTCGGTTGAGCACCCTTCGGAGCTTAGTTAGTTCCTGGTGTGTTTTTACAAAACGCCGAAATCATATTGCCGTTTCCCCCAGGCCAGGCAATTTCCCCCAGGCCAGGCAGTTTCCCCCAAGCCAGGCCGCGCAAACGCGTAACCATGGAAATACTACGAACGCTGACCACAACCAGTTCAAAGTACAACATAGACGCAGTCACAATCAGACGTAAACACAGCGAACGATTTCATACGACACTCAGCTGTATGGTTCGGAATTATTACCGAACAAAGGAAGCAAACTTCGGCTCTGACGCCCTAGCTGTCAATCATACAAAAATGGATACCAAAAACACTGAAATTTCAGGCTTTAAACAGGTGACGCACTTTACACATAGGTGACGCACACATGGCGTTCCATACACATGCAAACGAAACGTGAACGGACATTTCAGGAAAAGAATCAAGTTTGTACCTTAAATATGACTTTTTTGATAATTTTTCTTAGTTAAGTAAGACTTATACTTAAGTGAAATACTTAAGTGAAATACTTAAGTGAAAAAATCATTAAAAATAGAGGGTTTGACTGAAATATCACAATTTTGGTATTGAAAAAAACGGAAAATAGTATGCTCTCTCGTCGCACTCAAATTTGTAACGTTAAGCGAATGGCGGGTCTTTTACATCCAATCAGAAGGAACAAGAACGTTGATTCGTGGGCGGGGCGCGGGCGGGTAATTCAAATGAGGCGGAGACCGATTAAACGTAACTGCGCAAGCGCTAAATGTAAGGAATATTGCTTCGTGCAGCACCCTTCCCCTACTGAAGAATTGAAGATGGAAACGCATTGGTGGAAATGAAAAAAAAATTGAGCTGGTGTAAAATGTATTCAAAATACTCAATAGGAGTCTAGATCTAGTAAGAACTAAAGTAGATCTCGGTCCTACTCATTTGGTCATTAATATTGCAAGGTGAACATTAACAACATTTGCAACTTGCGATGGACTGATCATGTGATATGAAAATATAATAAGCTGATCCGATATCCGTGCTGAGACCAAGCAGAGCTGAGATAGATCTAAACCTGCACAATTTTAAACGCGTGGGACTGACTTTCAATAACAACCCATTAAAATCGGCGACATATTAAGAGCAGTTTCACCAAACCTACATACAATTAGAGAGATTTCACAAGTAAATACTATTCAAATGAGTACGAGCTTTGCTTACCATCTTTATTTGAATGATTTAGATTCTTTGAAAGTAAAAATGGGATCTTTGTTGTGAGTCGCGATCTCCGTTCTCTTCCGTGATGTGATGTGAAACCTCCCAAAATGGCAGAATAAGTACATCCGGGCTTTTGTCAATAGGGACGCCCTCCCAGTGGTTTTCCTTATTTGGCAAAAATACCACGGGCCTCATCATGAATATTCAACATGGAATTTGTGCATTGATTTTATCCAAAAGTTTTAATTGATTTTAAATTGCAGAAAATCTATTTTGGTTTCATATGGATAAAGAATCACACAACTCACGACTGCTCCGTCATTTTAAAGAACGAAACTACTTCACAGAATAGTTAAGGATGTTAGTGATTCGTAAATTTCTACACCCGGAAGTGTCACGGAATGTTGTTCCATAATAAATATTGATTGATTGATTGGATAAGCTTGCGTTCTTGTAACGATAGAAATAAAATTCTCACAGAATCCAACAAAATTTACACTAAATGTTCAAGACAAATAAATGACATGTGCCAAACGAGTTTGGAACAAAATGAATAGGGGCTGACATATCAATTCCTTTCATAGCAAAAGCGCTCCTCACAATTTCTGTAAATTTGGCAGTTTAACGCTACGCGTACCGCCTTGACCGGACTGTGCGGTATCTGTGCAGTTCTGTGTGTAGAGAGGTCGGGCTGTATTCATTATTTCTTGGGGGTGCATAAATTGCTCTAATTATACGTACGCGTGTAATGCGCAAGTTTATTGTGACGGCACTAAACCCATCCCACTCATTGTTACCCTATTTTCATAATGGTACTGACCCAATCAAATGTAGTGCAGTGCGCTCGTACGCGCTGCGCTGCGTGTGTACATGTACTGTACTTATGCATGTTCAGTTATATGTGTATGCATAGCATTACGTACATGCATACGGCTAGCTGGCACAAAACCCTGGGTCGGGCTTCTAAAATGGGACATGAAGCATGATTTAACATGAAAAATGACGGAGCTAAAAATGAATCAATCAAAATGAAATTTATATGTATGAAAAGCTTACGTATCATATGTCATTGTCTGTGATTGAGGATTTACAAATTTGACGCAAAACGCGTTGCTGCAAAGTTAAAGATTGGTTTATTGAAAGGCAATCGAGCACAGTACGACCGATCCATTGACATTGTGTATGAGAGAGTATTTTTTTTAAAATGGATTGTAAAGTTCAACGTCAAAGTGACGGAGGTTTTTTTTCAAGTAAGGGCATGGTTTTACATGGAATGTAAAGGAAATGTTTCCTTCTTCTCATATCTCGATTGAGGATATTATTCTCAATTTCGATTTTTAATGGTAAAGAAAAGTGTAAAAAGATGTCGAGAATTTTACCATATGTCATGTAATATAAAATGCGCGCGGGTCGGTTGGTCTCCCAAAAGGAGCGCGAAGGAATTGATATGGTATAGAAAGATAAGAAAAACAAGGTAAGTATGATATAGGCCCGACACAGGTCACTATGTGCAAATGAGAGTTGTGGTATTTATTGAAGATGATTTCCAGCAAGTTTTTTGTGAGTCATTTTTATTTTACTGGTTCAAACAATCAAACTACTGCAGGATAACAATCCAAAATGAACTTATAGCCATGTTCTCTCGAAATACGATGCCCATAATGAGATTAGCTTAATGTCATGACCCAGTCTTCAGTGATATATCATAATTGGAGATTAACCAAAAAATCATCTCGTCTTCCCAGTGTGACAAAACTAAAATATTTGTTTAGTGTTAGAATATGATTTGCTATCAACATGATTAATTATGATTGCCGCGGTCACTATATTTGAACTGCCTTTTCCCCGCCTTATAAAATTAGCCTACATGTAAACTGGAAAACTAGGAAATGGTCTTTGCTTCATAATTTACAAAAAGACGCATTAAAGAGTTCTTGATGAACAAATATGATGTTTAGAATATGTAGAAGGATTTAGTCACTAAATATGAAAGGTAATTGTATTAAAATAAAGGGTGTAATTTTTCTGAGCAAAGACGAAGGCTTCACTCATTCCAACTATTTTCCACTTTGAAAACGTGAGTTTTTGTCGAATATTGGTCTTTACGGGTCAATTTACTAATTACTTTGTCGCTCGAATCGATTTTGTATGTATTCAAATAACATCCAAAAGGGGAGGAAAGAAAACGGGACAAAATGTACGAAAGAAGAAAGAAAAGGGATTCATTACCACAAAACTAGGAAATGCTCTTTGCTTGGTTTCAAGCCATTATTATTTCGGTACGTTTTGTGAGCCTATCAAATACTGAGCGCATCTTTCTTTCCCAGGGGCGGATCAAGGGGGTGGGAGGTTTATAATCCCCCTTTGTCGGGGGCACTTGTCAAATTCCTTGGGGCAAAAGGAAAAGGAAAACAAAGTGCTCACTACCCCCCCCCCCCCCCCCCACTGAGCGAAATATTGGTCGGCACAATTTTCAAATTTCGCCTCCCCCCCCCCCCCCCTTAGCAAAAGGCTAGATCCTCCCTCTCTCGTTCTCCTCTCCCCCTCCCTTTCTATCTATCTATCTATCTATCTCTCCCTCTATCTTTCTCTACCTCCCTTTTATCTCTCCCTCTGTCTATGTTTGTATGTCTGTCTCTCTCTGTCCTTATCTCTCCCTCTCTCTCTCTCTCTCCCCTTTTTTTAATATTGAAAATTCGTTACATCGTTATTTAGTCGAAACATCTTCTGCTTCCAATTTAGGGGAGAGGCGCCCCATTGAATTACTGCCCAATATCGCAAAGGCCAAGTTTGCAGTGCAGGCCCTATAATGCAATGGAGTTGACCAGAGGCGGCAGAGCGACTTCCAAAGTGGGGGAGGGGGGGGGTCACCAACAAAGAAGGGCAATTTCTGGAGAAAAAAAGGGCACCTTCAAAGGGAAATCTCAAAGCGAAAATATACACTTTTTTAGATATTAGTATATACCCCTATTTTGTGATTACATTATCAGGGATGATTTCAATATTGGTTTCTCTTTATACATCATATAAGATATTTTAAGCATCATACTTTGCAGTTGGGTGTGATGGTCTGAAAATTCATTTGCGAGCGAGCAAAGCGAGCGAGGAACATTTTTAAGATTTGTGAGGTCGCAGTGCGAAAAATTACATCTTATAAAGAGGAAAAACCCAGTCCTGATGGATTTATAAGCACATTCTCATAACGGAAGACTGAAAGACCTTCGATAAGTTACATAATTATAACATTTATAACTACGAGCGAGCTTTGGGGGAAGTTGCTCGTAGTCGTTTGAAATTAGGGACACGTTTAATGATGAGAGTAAAAGGGGACACTTATCAAAAGGGTTAAGACACTTAATAGAAAAGAAAAGGAGCACGTGTCAAAGTACAAAGGCTAATTATCAGAGGTGAAAATGGGGCACTTACACCTTAAAAAGAGGCACACACCAGGGATGAAAAGGGATTTTATGAGAATGGGAAATGGGCATATGTCGACGGAAAAGAGGCACCCGTCATATTTTGATAGGGGCATTTATAAGAAGTGAAAAGGGCCAATTATGAAAAAAGGAAAAGGTTCCTTATTAGAAAGGGAAAAGGGGCACATATCATTGTTATAAGGGTAATTATCAGAGGCGAAAAGGGGCACTTATCGCATCTGAAAAGGGGCACTGACCATACATGAAAAGAGGAACTTATGAGAATGAACAAGGGGCGCTGATGATAAAGGGAAATGTGCATTTGTTGAAAGAAAAGGGGCACCGATTGGGCATTTCTTGGAGGTGAAAGGGGGCTATTATGAGAAGGGGGAAGTGGCTCCTATTAAATAAAAAAAGAGGCACATGTTAAAATAAACGGGGCACTTATCAAACATGAAAAGGGGTAATCATGAGAAGGGGAAGGGGCACTTATAAGAAGGAAAAAGATCATTTATTAGGAAGGAAAAGGGGGACGTGTCAAAATAAAAGGGGCATTTATAAGAGATGAAAAGAGCACTTATCAGGAGGGGAAAGGGCATTAGTCAAAGTAAAACGAGTATCTCTCAGAATTGACTAGGGTCATTTACAAGAGTTAGGGGCACTTATGAGAATGAAAAGGAACTATTTTCATAGATTAAAAGGGGCATTTATGAGAAGGGAAAGGGGCTCTTTTTTAAATGGGGGCACTTATCATAAGGAAAAGGAGCACTTATCAAAAACGAAAGGGGACACATGTGAAAATATAAGGTGCGCTTATCCGCGTTAAAAAGAGCTAGTTATTAAAAGGGGGAAGGTGCACTTTTTACAAAGGAAAAGGGGCTTGTCAAAGCAAAAGGGGAACCTCTCAGATTTGAATAGGGCGATTATTAGAGGCGAAGAGGCGCTTATCAATAGTGAAAAGGGGCGCTTCTCGTACCTAAAAAGGGAAACTTACTAGAGATTAAAAAAGGCACTTATGAGAATGGAAAATGGACACTTATTGCAAAGGAAAATGGGAACTTGTCAAAGGAAAAGGGATACGTGTCAAAATAAAAGGGGCACTTATCAGAGGTGGAAAGGGGGAGGGGCACTTTTAAAAATTAATAGAGGCACTTCTTACAATGTTAAAAGGGCACTTTTCCTATGTAAAAAGGGGTACTTTGGGGGTACTTGAAAAAGTGGGGGAGGGGGCATTGTGATTTACGCACTATACACTTTTTGTGAGCTATAAAGAGACAGTCAGGGCGTAGCCTAGCCCCCCCCCCCCCTCCATTGCTTTTCAATTTTTCGAAAATGAGTAGAATGTGGCATGTGCTTCCTTTAAAAATACTATATTTTGTAAATACTATTACTATTGTAAATAAATTTAAGTCACCTCCGCTAAACCCTTAAGTTTTATTAGAAACAGTTAATATTGAATTAAAGAAAGTTATTTTGTGGATTCATGCAAATAAGTTGTCCTTGAATCTTCAAAAGACAAACTATATGTTTTTAGTAACTCCCTAAAGGATGTACCTGGAAATGTATTTTTTGATGATGTTAATGTTGTGAGAGTAACTTCCACCAAGTTTCTTGGGCTACATATTGATGAGAAGCTGTCTTGGGCATCTCATTGTACTAATATTTGTAAAGTCGTGTCTAGAAATACTGGTGTAATTTAAAAATTAAACTTCTTTTGTC